TGATTGCTAGCTAACCATTACTGAATCACTGTCTCAGACTAAAATACTCCTTGGAATTAAGATTTTTAGGAGTTACAATATAAACATATATATTGATATATTAAATTGTGGGAATAGTTTAATTGTTGAAGTGTTTGTGAAGCCAGCCAATGCTTAAAGTCCAGTCCATTGACTCAGGTGGGATGGTGAACTGGATTTCAGTATAACGAGAAAAAGAATGAAGCAGAAGATACCCTTTAATCCCCCTGGATAACCTAAAGATACCCTTTAGTTCATGTCACAGAGGCAAGGATTGCGTGTTCAGGTTTATGTAAGAGAGTTTATGTCCTGAAACACTTCATAGTTCATCTTTCAATCATTAGAATGTTACAGAAATGTCTGAAGCTCTCAATTAGCATTGAAGGGAAATTAAATTGATCACTGGACTGCAAGAATTCAGTAACAGTTTTGTGCTTTGCTGGGATACTCTGTGACATATAGTGGGATCTGTAATGTACCCAGACCTAAGCTCAGGTATCAACAAAGACAAACAAGGTTGCTTATTATTCTAGGTTGCCTACCAAATTTTTAATTGGAAGACATTCCAAATGAGCTACCCTAGCTTAGTATAGCCATTCCTATTTTGCATTAATGGAAAGTATGACTGCACAAAGTAAAAAAAAAAAAAAAAAAAATACATGAAAAAGAAGAGATCCATTTCCTGGAAAATCTCTTCTTCATATCACTGTTCATATCAGCTGTTTTGCTCTAAAAATACCCACAAATTATTAAGTAATCAAAAAGTTGACATTGTCTGATCCTTCTCTTTTCATCAGTAATTAAGATCCTGGCTCTCAATTTCACACTGCGTGCTCAAACTGTTTGAGTCCTTTTATGAAACACCTTTACGGAATTCAGAGTATAATCCAACTATAATTATCCTTGGGGGAGAAAAAAAAAAAAAAAAAAAAAAAAAAAGAAAAAAGAGTGAATTTAAGAAGTAAGAACAATCTTCTAATTTAGCAAAGTCTGAGTTTTAAGACAAGGAATCACATGTAAGTTCCATATGACTACTAAATGTGCCAAATTGAAGATGCCAGAGATAGCTAATTCACACTGCAAACTAGCTGTAGTATACAGACATTATGCCAGTTCAATTGAAGCCATTTAAAGGGAAAATAAAACAGAGTGGGATGGTACATGAAGGCCATTTTAACAGTGTGACAGAAGAGTATGATCCTGCATTTTCCTATACTGTGGGAAATAGTTTTCTTTAAACATGGTAAACAGAAGCTGCAACTATTTACCTTATGTTCCACACCCACCTAGACCCTTCCTCCTCTAAAAACCTTTGTGAAGCTACAGAAAAGGAATAGCAATAAAGACACAAAATAAGTCAAAGATACACTGAAAATAAAAAGGAGCTTTCCCCAATGGTTCCTTGTAGTTTTAAGCTTTACTTCTCACTCTCCCAGTTCCCACCTAGGCCATCACTCACCTGTTATGACAAAGATCTGCCAGCCCTCCCAGAAGACTGAAGAGCGAAGAAAATGAAAAAGCAACAGAATTACAGAATTGACTAATAGTTTAAACACACACACACACAGGGGATATCAGCATTCTGTGGGTAATCTGTTCACTGGTTTGGGTTGCTTTCTAGACCTAGCAGATCTCATGTAAAACAAGCATTTTAGTGGTGATAGTACACAGCCCTTGTATGAAGTGAACAGATTAAACTATTTATGTTCAACTGCTGAAAGCACTCCAGAAATTGATGTCAATGTCAGAAACCTTATTAGGTTTCAGAAGAGGTAGGAAAGCTTCAGCCTAATCACAAGATAGGAGGTCTTCAGGCTTTTGAGAATGACATCTGAAGGGCATTGAGATTGTTTTCTATAAAAGGAAAGGGCAAATTTCCAGTACATATATAATCACTGGTAGCATTTATGTTGTCATCCTCTCTAAAGCAATAACAAAGTGCACAAATGGTGGATGATTAGAGAGGTCAGTCAAGTGCCCCATTCAGCTGTAATTGTAGAGTTTTCAAAAATTCTTTTGACATCAGAAAATATCATATGTTTTTTTAACCCAGCTTTTTGCTATGATTAGTTAATTCATGCAAAATCAGTGAAGAAACAGAATGGGAAATTAAAAGCAGTAGAACAGGAATGTCATTTTGCCATAGTGATAAGTAATCAGCAAAATCTGTTCACTTCAAAGTTACTGATACCTGCCACTATTTAACCCCACATGCACAGGACCTCAGCAAATTTTGTTTAAAATAGTACCACCTTGAAGGTCTCGAAAGTCTTTTGAAAGAAGTGCTGCCTCATGTACACTTTTGCTTCAATCAGTATTCTCTTTCCCTGCTCTACCTAGAACACTTCACAAGATTGTCCTGTCTCACAAAGAAAATCTGAACACACCTTTTTACTCAATTAACATCAATTTTGAACTATCATGCCTCTTAAAATCTGACAATCTTCCTACTAAGGAAATTATGTTTATTCTCTAATAGTATGTAATGAATGGACATATATTTTCCAGTTTTGAAATAAATTTTCATTAGAGAATACTTAAATTATATAAAATTATATAAACATATAATCTGCCACAAACCAAATAGGAGTTCTCATGTCAGTAATATTACTCAAAACAAGGAATTATTTGAATTACTTATAGTTACTTAAAAGTGGAAGAACCCTTCAGTACAGGTGTGATTAGTTTTCAATCCAGGAACAAGGAAAAAAAAAACCACATGACATCATGCATCACACCAGCTGAAAGTCCTCATTATTTATACACTTTCTTGCTTCAGAAAAGTGGGAAATTGAAATAGAAGAACATGGCAGGAGAGATGTGGAACTGGGGAAACAAAGAGACAGTCCTGCACTGGCTTACTGGTGTGAAGGAAAAAAAACAAAGGAAGGTACTCTGATGATCAAAACCTTAAATTTGATGTCACTTCTGTAATTCCAGACCATGAGAGAGGGAGCTTTTGGCAGGCTTAGATGTAATTTAGAATTTTAGAAAAATTTCTCTGTAGTACAGTCCTGGTGACACTTCAGCAACACATTCAGAGCTCAGTGTGAAGGATTTGTCCTGTGAAGTTTATTACATAATAGAAAAAAATGATGTTAAACATATTAGGTTGTAACTTTGACATGAAAATGTGCTTTCAGTGCACCTAAATTTTAGCACTGGGCTTCTGTCATTGATCAGGGAGAATGAGGTAGTTCAACTGATCCCCAGACAAACATTTGTTGTGATGACACTTAATGCTTGCAGTCATTTCAGTTCTTCAGCTAATGGTTGTTTGCCTGCCATCAACAACCATTAGGATGGAGTCATAAGCTCTTTGGGAGAGTTAATATTGCTGCCTTGCTTTTTATCTTATTTTATTTTAGGACACCTTTTTCTTCCAAGAGCTTTATTTTTCCATTTAGGATTTCTACAGAAGTTCAAGGTAGGAAAAGGCTTTAAATGTTAATGTCTTGCCTAATGAGGGCTTTGCAAAGAAAATTGTGAATAGTTTCACGTGCAGTGTATCATAACACAAGGTTGTTTGGGTTTTCTTATTTTTTTTACAGTGTATGAGATCAGGGGAAATGCCTCGCATGCAAAAACACCAGTGTAAGAAAGTGAACTGAAGATTATTTCTGTGACCACTGAAATACATAGCAGAAGTCATACATCATCAGGAGAAACAAAAAAAAGCTTTAGGAAATTATTCAAATCTCCCCAAAGTCCTTCCATGTACAACTCTACTTTTCAGTTGGTGAAAGCATTATTTTTCCTTATATAATAATCATTATATTTCTGCATGAGACTTTTACATTTGTAATTCGTATAAAAGGAAAATTGAAAAACCCACTGGGACAACCAGGTACAGAAAGCTACGTCTGGGTTGATCTTAGTTTGGCTGAAGTTCAAATCCAGTCTTTCAAAGTAGAAAGGAAAAATAGTTTCCAGTATTCCAGCATTTTCTGTAAACACAGCAGAATGTAGGTACATGCATCTCAGAATAGCCAATGGCAGGAGTGCTCTGCAGTACATAAACAAAACAAGTTCTCTTAGAATCATATACAAGATCCTTGTGTTCTTTTACAATGTACACCATTAACAAGCAGTCTAGAAGTTTGACCAGACCCTAATATCTTTCCTAATTGTACAAAGCATAGTAGCTGGTAGCCCCTTTTGTTCTTTCCTCTGTCCATTAGAAACAAAAAGTGAGTAGGCCAAGGTGTGGTTCTTGCAGACTTCTCTGAGTCTTCGTTATCTTCGTTATTGCTTCTCCTTCATACAAACAGTTCTAATAGCCTCCAAGCCCTCTTGATTCTGCAATATTATACAATCTCCTTTTCAAAATAAATGGAAAGCTGCAAAGCTTCCAACAATATTTCATTTTGCAAGGGTAATCACTGGCTCTAAAAGATTATTATTACTATTATTATTATTATTATTATTATTATTATTGTTGTTGTTATTGTTATTATTGATGATTTATGATCTCTCCTAAGCTACTGGTATATTTTCCATAGTAAATGGTCTTTGATTTAGTTCATGGTTATCAATGAAAAACCACCTGAAACACAGCAATGCTTCATAAATTGTTTATCAGCCATTTGCCAGTGACACAAGAACTGCAGGTGAAAGAGAAATTTAAATACATTATTTTTCATGCCTGTGCTTTCAAGCTGTTTGCCTTATAGAAAAAGTAGATGTCCAAAAGCTGATAAATATGACTGACACTGTTAAATACAGAGTGACTTCAGATATTTTCTTTCAGGTTTGCAGTAGATGTGACCTCAGCAGGTAGCAGCTATCAAGCAGCTGTTTCCTCAGATCCTTGCTTTTCACTGTATTTCTCTGCAGGTTCATTGGTCTGCTCTCATCACATGTTACTCTTATGCTGTCCACTCTATATCCTACACATCCTCAATCTACTGAAAATAGAGCTAAGTACCACTGATGTGTGAAAGGAAATCTAAGTCCAAATATTTCACCTTTTCTTTTTGCAGCCGGACCCTGCGGGCAGAGATATCTCCATCCGACCAATCTTGGAGCACTGCGAAAACACCCACATGACCATCTGGCTTGGGATTGTCTATGCTTACAAAGGGCTGCTGATGGTAAGCACAGCTTCTTCTGCACAGCACTGACTGCAAGCTGCTATTTACTGATAGGCATGAACTGAATTATATTTGCTTTCCTGATGGCTGGGAGTGAGTAAAAACTGCCTCAAGTGCAACTTCTATAATCACATCTGTTCATTAGATAGTAATATGTGGATATATTCATAGGTAAAATAAATAAGACATCAGTAGCATTTAAGCTGAATATTATAGATATACCACAAACAGAAGTTCAGTAGTGAAAAGATGGGTCAATAAATGAGACAACTTTGTAAATAAAGAAGTCAAATCGTCCAGATTCTTGTAGGTCCTCCAAAAAGGTAGAACTAGGTTGTCCAAGATGTTTGCTTCTTAGTTGCTAATGTATTTGAGGAATAGTCATGAGATGCGGATTAATCTGGGGCCTGAATCAAAATAACCTTTTTGTTGCTGAGGCTCATCTCCAGAAAAAGATTTAGTAACTGAAACAGGCCTCAGGAATCAGGAACTCTGAGGCTTGAAAATATGAAGAAAAAAGAAACTGTATAGGTGACTATTAGTGATTAAAAACTCCTGAGCCTGAAGGTTTTTGAAAACATCTGATATTGACAGCACTGACCAGCAGAACACCTATCTCGGGTTGAGCCCCATCTGGATCCTAAGCCTGATAGACATTATTCTACACTGCCTGAAGGGGTCAATCTGTTCTGGGCATTTGGAGCATGCTGGTTCATTAGGACACCGGGGAAAGATTGAACCAGCTGCTTCCACTTGGCATGGTTGCTGCTGATGCCCAGAGGGAGCTGCTGGTGCCTGGAGTCCCCTTCTTCCCTCTCCTCCATGTATGACTGCTTTGATGAGTCCTGCTGCTCTTTGTGCTGCATTTTTCAGGCTAAAAAGTCTTTAAATATCCAATAAGACGTTCAGCAGGGAGGGGTGACAAGTTTTGTTTCTTTAAATTCTAAACAGTTGCTTTGAGGGTCAGACCACTCTGCTGGGATGAGCCTTCAAGCAAGGGGGCACTAACATCAAATGTCTCAGGTGAGAGCTCTGATCCTTAAGCTACTAGCCAAAAGGAAGCCTTCTCAACTTTCCATTTAATAAAGAAAAAGAAAAAAAGAAAAAAAAAATAAAGACAACTTTATGTGTAGATGCCTCCTTTTCAGAGAATGTCCAAGCAGGCTGTGAAATAAAGAGCTAGGACATATGTGCTCCCTCCAAAGGGATCAGGAATTAGGAGTGATTCCACACTTCAGTATGTCTTATTGGTTGGTCAGCTCGGGGATGTACATTAACTTTGGCATGTAGCACAGCATCAAGGAATCTGTGTCCTGAAGGATGCCACAAGTTGGGAGCCATGACATTGACCAGCACTGGGGCCATGGTAGGATTCAAACAAATGGTAGGGTTTTTTTTTGTTTTTTAAATAACTTCATCAATGTTCTCAGTTAAAATATTTTAAAGATCCATTCTCAGGCAACTTTCTTTGAGGTTTCAAGTTTAAGTGGTGTTAGACAGTAGTCAAATCTAGTCCTTTGCCCTAGATTGGTTTGTCAGCATGTATGTTGGACTATTTTCTGCAAGATATCTTGTGACTCTCTTTAAGTCTGCAACTGTGATTTGCAAACTTATTTTGCAAATGTCATTACATTATTTGACAATAATATGTGCATATATGCATGCTTGAATTACCCAATTCACTACTGAATTTCTTAGTTTGTGGTATATCTATAATATTTAGCCTAAGTGCTACTAATACCTTATTTATTTTACTTATGCCATTACTCACTAATTTCAGACACACAGTGTTTCATAACCACCAGTGAAATACACACTTTTTATTATTCCAGTGCCCTCTTAACACACAAATCACTACATATTGAAAAGGAAGGTACTCATCTGAATCATTTAAATAATTGCTATGATGAGTGAATGAATGATATGAGGACAATAGAATTGATGCATTTTATCTCATCACCAAAGATGTTTCTGTACATGTTTCATACACAAAGATGTTTCATACACACCTTGCCTTCAGAGCAATAAAACAGAACCTCTCATGTTACTGTATCATTTTATATAGGTTTATCTAATAACAAATTCTGTGATTTTTAATAACAAAATACATATCTAATTTAACATGCTATATACTTAAGAGCTAGTATTGCTAATTAGGGCACAGTGCATTATTTAAGGTGAAATGGCTTGGGCCAAAATTATTTACTGTGACCTCTTGTCTCAAAATGGGAATACAAAAAATGGGGTTAACCTGAAAAAGTCCCTTTCTTTCTTGTCTTGAAGTAAAAGCAATCCTGTCCATTCTGATGTCTTAAGCATACTGATGCAGTGAATAAATCATTTACGGTAGGGCAGGGCACAGAAGGGCAAGAAAGGGCAGGGAATGCAAGGAATGGCAAAATAAGGGAAGGCTTTACTTGACAGGATACACTGGTTCCCTCTACATTAAAGTAACCAAACTCTAAAAGGCAGATTCACAATTCTTCAATTTCCTCTGAAGGAATGTCAGGAAATGCTTACTCTGCATGAAGGCTTCTCAGTTACTAGATTCAGATTCCTCAGGTGACTACAGAATAACAGGAAAATTACCATCCTAAATTTTGCCTTTTACCATTTTATTAATCTTCTTAATGACCAATGTATTAGTCTTCCCCAGTTTCTGCATACATAGAGGACTCACTGTTTTCTCCCATCTCAAGTTCAGCTCCAAAAAGGCTGCATATAAGTTCAAGGTCTGTCTGTGTGTACATGTTGACCATCACAGAATTAGGATCAATTAGGCTGAAAAAGGCTTCTGAGATTGAGTCCAACCTATGCCTGAACACCACCATGTCAACTAGATCAGTTGCATGTCGACTGGTCAGTTGCAGTATTTTGATTTTTGATGAGACAGACATAGTTGAAAAGCACCTTTCTTTCATTTATTCCAAAGGATGATCGAAAGTACACCATTTTAAACTTGCTGGTGGTGCATTATTAGGGAGTGCACTAACATCTTTCTGAGGGGTATGAGTTATTTGTCTCACCTCAGCCAGACTGGGCTCCTCTTTGCTTATTAATCACACACATAGTAGTCTTGTCTATTGTTTAATTCCTCTCCTCCTGATAATGCTTTGAGTTAACTTTAGACTCAAGGTGTGCATCTGTTTCATTGTGTCCCTGACATGTTATTGTAGGTACTTGTTACTCAGCTACTGAGAAACAGCCTTTTGAGGCAAAACTATATTTTGAGCTTCACTGTTGCTCTGTACGAAATCCTACTTTTGCCTTGTGCTAATTGAGGAGGTTTTAAGCCATAACTAATTAGAGTGACCATTTCTCATACATCATTTTTAATGTGTTGTCCTTAGCTAACCTTGCCAAGAATAAAAATATCAGTATTTCATGACTAAGATAGGAAAAAAAAATAATGCATATTCATCATGGGACTTGATAAATGCCACTAAGAATAAGAAATTTATTTTCCTCTAACGATTCATATTGAAACATTTCACTGTAGTTGATATACTGCCCAAAACAACCCTGTAATTTATTTAGGAGCCAAAGAAAGTATTAGTTCAACTAATATTAATTGGCATAATGTTCAATCTTAATTTCAAGTCTGAAAGAATCCTCTGCTTCCTGAGGCTTTCTGATTGCTAAACTGAATTTGTCTTACTTTCAAGCCTTGAACTTTGGTGGGTCTTGTATATATGTTATCCCTCTTACTCTAAAATGACCTGATGTTCTTATTTCTTGGCAAATTTCCTTGCATTTGGCCAAATTTCTGTGATTTCTCTAACAATCTTTCTGTGAGTTGTCTACCATTCTTCCCCTCTGCTTCCTCTGTATCATTTTCAGTCATGTTATTATCTCCTCCAAGTCAATGTACATATCTGGGACAGCTTAAGTTAGAATTTTTTTAAAAACTATCCTTTTTTTTCAGTAGCTTCTCATTAATAGTTATATGTAGAGATCCATCACATAGATTTCAATCAGTTATAATTTGTTGTATTGATTTTATAGCATTCTGGATTTAAATAATGATACTGTGCGGTATTAAGACAAACACTATTGAGAAATTCATCTATCCTGCATGAATGTAATTACCTTTATTCAGTCTTGAAAACCCATTTAAAAAAATAATAGCAATTTGAATTATATTTCTATCCTTTTTTTTTTTTTTTTTTTTTCACTTACTGGCTGAGTTCATGTGTCAGCCATTTCATTAATTTGCTTAGATAGAAATTACGGTAATAGCTCTGTAATCACTGGGGCTGTTCCACTTTCTCTTTTCCCATATGGCCTCTTTGTATCTTAAGTGGAGCTTTGCCAGAATTCCAATAAATATCAACAATTAAGCCCAGCAGTCCAAAAAACTTCTAAATCAATTCTTAAAACTACTGCATGTAAGTTATAGGATCTCTGTGATTATAACAGCTTGTCTTGACAGAGTTTTCAAGAGCTCTGTCTTGCTGCTGGAATAAGCTGCACTTCACTATTTTGGCAAAACTCTTCCATCTCTTTGTAAATATCGGATAAAACCCTTGTTAAGCACATTTTACTGCTATTGAATTTGTCATCTTCCAAGGAATGAATCATTATTAAGATTCATTTTTCTCAACTTACATTTTTTATAAATCCTTATGAATTCTGTTAATGCTCCTAGCCATTCATTTACTACTATACATTTAACTTACCTTTCCACTATCTCTATTTCAGATCTTTTATTCATAGTCATTATTATGAATTTACTCTTTTTAACTTTTGTTACATTCTGTCCAGTCTTTGGCCAATTTTATTGCTTGTTTTTTTTTACATTCCACAACAGTCAAAACAATTTTTAGATAAGAATAGCTTTTTTACACATGTGCAGATTAGGAATGGTTATTTACAGCATATACACAAACATCTTTCAGTTGCTGTTTGTAAATACACTTGTTGTTATCCCTTCTCCCTTCTCCAATGTCTTCCTTTGCTGTGTTGGCTAATACAAAAACATTATTTTTCCATTTTTTTCA